TTTGCTAAGAATGATGGTTTCCAGCTGCATCCATGTCCCTACAAAGGACACGAACTCATCCTTTTTTATGGCTGCATAGTATTCCATGGTGTATATGTGCCACATTTTCTTAATCCAGTCTGTCACTGATGGACATTTGGGTTGATTCCAAGTCTTTGCTATTGTGAATAGTGCCGCAGTAAACATACGTGTGCATGTGTCTTTATAGCAGCATGATTTATGAACAGACATTTCTCAAAAGAAGACATTCATACAGCCAACAGACACATGAAAAAATGCTCATCATCACTGGCCATCAGAGAAATGCAAATCAAAACCACAATGAGATACCATCTCACACCAGTTAGAATGGCGATCATTAAAAAGTCAGGAAACAACAGGTGCTGGAGAGGATGTGGAGAAATAGGAACACTTTTACACTGTTGGTGGGATTGTAAACTAGTTCAACCATTATGGAAAACAGTATGGCGATTCCTCAAGGATCTAGAACTAGGTGCTTGACTTTCAAGGTCCTCTATGAGGTGGTCCAACCTACCCTTCCTCCGCTTGTGTCGGGGCGAGGACCTGGGAGGTTAGGGGGACCATGCAGCTTGATGCTGTGGAAACCACACCTTGAGCTCTGGAATCAGAGGTTACTTGTTAATCTAGGCCCTCCCGTGCTTCTTATCTGCTTGACCCCGGCCCTCGCCTCACCGTTCCCTCGCCCAGTTTCCCCCTTGTTAAGGTAGTGTGATAAAAAAAACGACCCCTATCCCGGGTTAGAGGTGAAGACTCAATGCGACAAGTGGAGGAGAGCGGGCTTTTAGCGCCAGAAGCTTCCATGATGCCCGGGTCCGCGGACAGGGCGAGGGCACGGGCCGGGGAAGCAAGTGTTGCCGCGCCGCTACCGTCGGGTGCCGGCCCCTGGACTGCTTTTCGTGCGCGGAGCAGCTCGGCCAGTCACCAAGCGCGTGCGGAGGCGGCGAGCCTGCGAGGGCGGCCGGTGCGGGCGCAGCAGGCGCGATGAGTCACGGTCCCTCAGCACCTCCGGAACAGGAGGCTGCTTGGAAGCAGCCCGGCCCCCGCCCGCGCTCCTCCCCCGCCCCGCGGAGTGGCGGCGCCAGCCCGATGCCCGGCAGAGGGCGCTGCAGTGCAGCTGCGGGGCCACGGGCCCGCGCCGCTCTGTCTGCCAAAGGCCGGCGCTTCCTTTGGCTCAGAGGGAAAGATCGGGGCCCAGGGATGGGGTGCGTGAGGAATGAATGTTTCTGCAGTGCCAGAGGTGGCTCTGTTTTTGATCCAGAAACGAAATGTACTTCAAGATTCAGACGCTGGGCAGAGTGATGGGGCCGACAGGGCACCTAGTGGAGAGTGTCCAGTCTTGATCGCCCCAAGCTTTTGAGCAGGGATGTCCTGTCCGAGGCTGGTGTCGTGCCCACTCTCGCCAGAGAAGGTCTGTGATAGGATGAGTCTCCCCTTTCCAAAATGAATCTGCCTAGGGAACGCAGTCCTTGATCTCCTCTGTGACCTCTCTTACCTGAGGTGATGGAGGTTACAAAGATTGGAGCTGTCTGCAGTGGAGCGCAGGAGAAAGTGCACAAGCTATCAGGGGACCAGGGTTTCAGTGCCAGCTCCATCATGAGATTGCTGTGTGACCTTGGTCATTTCATCATTCATTCATTCATTCATTCATTCATTCAGAAAACACTCACTGTGTCCGCAAGGCACTCACAGTGAAGGGAAGAGAAGGAGGCCAAGCCTGTGGAGACAATTGCCCTGACCATAAAATAGCTTAGGCCAGGCACAGAGGCCAGGCACAGAGACCCGACACACAGGTGATCCATAAACACTGGCTGAATGAACAAATGTGATGATTTAGTCACCACACACTAGGGCAGAGATTTTTGGTCACTCATGCATCCCGAGTACATAGAACAGTGCCTGACACACAGTGGGTGCTCAGTAATTTGTCGAATGAATGACAGAGGAATGTATTGAGTGTTCTGTGGGCACAGCAGAGGTCTCCTAACTCACAAGAATCTGTGTTGTTTGAACCGAGTCTTGAAGGAAGGGTTGGGATTAGCTAGGCAGACAAGGGCCAGATGGAGGGTGATACAGGCAGAGAACAGTCTGTGCAAAAGTAGAGTCCTCAGAGTTCTCACCTCTCTGAGCCTCAGTCCCTCCTGTGAGAAGGAAAGGATAGGGCTGGCTCTGTAATTTCTCAGATTTTTCTAGATCTAAGGTTCTCAGATTCAAGAAATGAATCCAGTTACCCTCGTCAGAGCCTGACCAGTGCTGGGCAGTCCAAAAGACTCAGGTTTTGACTTTTGACTCAGCCCATCTGCAGAATAAAGGCCTGGTGATCTTAGGCACCCCTTTTCCATCTGCTTCCTCTGTCTTTCACCTTAGAAATCTCCCCTGAATCCTATCCCCATAGGATAAACTATCTGCAGCACAAAAGTCAGCACTTACTTGTATTCTGCCATGATTTTTCTCTGTATTCGTTTTTGAAATAGCCTTTGTTATTTACAGATTTTTATACTAACGCAGGTTAATTGTGAAAAAAACAGGAAAGTACAAAGACGAACATAAAAACTATCTGTAATTTCACCACCTGACATAGTTCCTTGATTTTTTTATGCCTTCATTAAAATACACACACACACACTTCAGCTCACACAGCAGCACTGGCACAGATCACTGTGAGTCTTATGTTCCCAGCAAAAGCATGAGCTGCGGACAGTTCTCTCTTTCTCTCCATTAGTTTGTCTCTGATGGGAAGAGATGTTGGCTGGGACCCCAAAACTCTGACTCTTAAACCAGCTGCAGATCATCAGGCTAAATCCTCAAAGAACATACTGCTCAGAGGACGTTTCATTCTGAGACAGGGCTCTGGACGCAAACCATTACGTGGCCTCTTCTTCCTTACTGGAGTTGGGTTAGAGTTAAGCTAGATTATGTGGGGACCACTAGCCCTGCTTTGGTCCAGACCAGAGATAGTGCTGAGCAGCTTTCTAGGGAGGGGGCAAGGGAGTGCTCGGGGATTTACTGCCCCACCTGTCTGAGAGAAGCCCCCAAAATAAACCCATAACCCTAGCTGACTTGGTTTTCCGTGGCCCCTGCCATTTGAAAGCTCCATCCCCAACACAGTGGCTCCTTTTTTGCCCTAGTTCCTTGCTTTTCAATGTGTAACCCATGGACCAATGACATAGAAAACAAGATCTCTAGATGATGGTTTGTCTGTTGACACTGAGAAGCAAAGTGCAGATTCTGTTTCAGAATGTCTGGAGTGGAACCTGAAATTCTTCATTTTGTAACAAACTCTCAGGTAATAGTGACATAGCTGGTCCACAGACCACACTTTGAGTAGCAAAGATCTAGATTCCTCTTTTGCCCTTGTCTTCTCTGAAAATGAAAGGGCAGGGGAAACTCCCTAGAGGTGAGAGTGTGTACACACACACACACACACACAAATATTGAGGCCTATGTTCTGGGTGTTCAGTGAATGCTTGCCCTGTTAATGCAGAAAGCTGAGGAGTGAGAAGACTTAAAGCTGTGTTCCCGCCTCTCCAATCACTTGCTTATTTCAGTGATGACAGCATCAGTCTCTCAGTCACCAAATGGAACTGATTCCTTAGACGTTTTCGCCATGGCTCTGCCTCTATTTTCTTATTGCTTCTATTCTTCTATTCTCAGACACTTCTCATCTATCCCCCGCCTTCCTGTCTCCAGTCCTTTTCCCCTCCAGTTCACTGCCTGTCACCCAATTCTTCTTACCCAAATTCAACTTAAAATCATTGGACGTGTGTGCTCCAAGGGAGAGTAAGTGGGCAGAGAAAGGGAGCTTCTCCTTAGAGCCCAGGTGGACCTTCAAACTTCCCTTACTCTGAATCTATACTGGGGTAGCATTTTTATTCCCTAGGAAACTGAGGCTCAGAGACATTAAGTAACTTGTCTAAGGTCACATAGTGAGGAAGTCAGAGTTGAGATACGAATCCACATCTCTCTAGTTTCAAAGCCTGGGCTCTCCACGATATCGTCCCTTCATCTTACTTAGGGGGAAGATGAAGATTGGGTGACTTAAGGTCATTCAGGGAGTCAGGGATGAAACTGAGGGTGGAAACTCCCTTCTTCTGACACTTTAAGTAAATTTTCATTCAGTAGCTCCTCTGCTCAGAAGCCTTCAGAGAAACCCCTCTTGCCTATAGAGTTGAAATTTCTGAGCCTGACAGCCAAGGCTGTCATGGTACCCCTGCCTCAGCTTGGCTTCTCCTTCTTCCCCAGCACTTTACTTGTCATGTGGAGGTGCTAGACCATCTCTCTTTTCCTCACCTACCAGTGGGGTTCTTCCCTGAATCCTGTTCCTCCCTAGCCTCAGTCATGCCTTAGAATTTCCCTATCATGGTGCCTCTGCCCTCTGGGATATTTTCTCGACCTCAAACACCCAGGCACTCTACCTGCCTCTCAGAATCTTTCCCATGCTTCAAGAGCATAGGTTCTCACCCCTCCAGAAAGCTCCCCACCCCACCAAAGCTGCCCTGAACCCTTAGAGCCTTGAGATAGGAGTCTGTCACTTTAGCGGTGCTGCCGCCTGTTGGTGGTTTGAAGAGCTCCACCCCAACTCACACGTGAGGCCAATAAATATTATTATAATATAATAAGCCTCTGCAGCTATACCCCATGGTTTGAAGAACTATTTCCGGAATCTTTCTTCTCCACTCTGAACTTGCTTTCATTACTCTAATGTCTCAACCTGTTTGGGCTGCTGTAACAACATACCATGGACATGTGGCTTAAACAACAAATGTTGTTTTCTTACAGTTCTGGAAGCTGGGAATTTTAAGATCACTGCACCCATAGATCCGGTGTCTGGTGAGGGTCCTCTTCTTGGGTTGCAGATGGCCCCCTTCTCGTTGTATCCTCACTTGGCAGAGAACAGAGAGAGGAAGCAAGCTCTCTGATGTTTCTTTTTATAAGGGCACTAATCCCATCATGAAGGATCCACCCTCATGAACTAATCACCTCCCAAAGGCCCCACCTCCACGTACCATCTCACTGGGGAGTAGGGTTTCAACATATGAAGAAGGATGCACAGACGTTCAATCCATGACACTTAGCGTGTCTAGGTCCTAGAGACTGTATCTGGTTTTCACAACTTTGCCAGCCCTGTTAGACTCTGAAGCTTAACTTAATCCCCACTTTTTGATCCTAAATGCTACCTCAGATCACCGCACCTCCATGACTGACCTATTATTATGCCTTGCACCCAATAGCTCTTTGCATTCCAGCCTGGATACAGTACCTCAGGTCCCTGCTTGGCCTGAAAGGAAAGTCAGACATGGCTGCCTGGTTCTCCATTCACTATTTCTATTACTTTCCAGATCTTGTCTTTATAAGTAAACTCTAAGCTCCTGGAAGGCAGGACTGTCTGTGTCTTATTCTTTTCTTTATCCTTTGCAATACCAGCATTTTCTTTTATTCATTCAATTATTTCTCAAAGACTGAATGTTCATTCTCTGCCAGGCTTGATACTAGGTGTTGGGGCAGCAGAGGGGAGACAAATATGGTCTAGTATATTCTAGTAAATTCAAGGCAACAGGGAAGCCCAATGACATAAGATTGGCAAATTGATTTTGGGCCCAGGCCAGTAGAAATATGTGTGAAAATGGTTGGGGAACAGGCAGGACCTGCCTATGCCTAGAACAGATAAGGAAGAAAATCAGAGGCTGGCGGATGCTGGAGGCCTACTTCAAGAGCCTTGGGGAGAAATGGGAGAAGGAGATGGAGTATTGTCTGCTTTTTCCAAAATGAGTGCCTAGAAAGGGAAGTGGCAATTATGGTCCCGATGAAAACAATATTTCCAGTTGTTACCTGAAACAATAGGATCTGGGGGTGTGATTCTCAGAGGCGGGTGATGTAATGGGAAAAGCACTAAACTAAGCTTTCTAGTCCTCAAATTCCATGACCCTTTGACCTGAGTTTTGGTTTCAGCTCTACCTCTTGCTCACTATCGGACTTGGCTAGCTCCATTCCCCTAGCTCAGCCTCAGTTTCCTCCTCTATGACATGGCAGGATGTGGAGTGGGGTGGTGAGTGAGGAGCTTGGACTCAGGGACTGCAAGCTTCCTCTGAGCTCTTGACATTCTTGGCATGCGACAGGAAGAGAAACACGGATTAGGAAGGTTCTATTGGAGGTTGAGACTGGAGGCAGGGAGGCTGGTGGGGAGGCCGAGGCAGCAGTGCTAGTGGGAGTAGAGTGGGAGAGGATCTGAGCCAAGGCAGGGGCTGAGATTGGTGTCATATTTGGGAGGAAATGGAACCGACGGGAACTGTCAACTGACCAGACGGTGGGGATGAACGAGGAGGAACCAAAGAGGATGGAGATTTGGTTGTGCCCTAGGAGGCCTGAGGGAGAGGAATATTGGGCCCCAGGCCTAACACTGCCAACAAACTTCCATGTGGCCTTAGGGTCTCTTTCTTTGTCTCAGTTGCCACATCTGCACAGTAAAGGGATGGCTCTGATGCTCCCTAAAACCCTCCCTGACCCCTAACAACTATAACAAATTAGGGAGCGCTGCGGGTTTCCAAATTAGTCTTTAACTTGTTAGAAGTTTGTAGGAAAATTCTGAACTCTTACACGGGAAGCTGGAATCTATGGTAGGGCTTGTAACTATCGTGGTGTGGTGGGGAGGTAAGGACAGCGTCTGAGGCCACAAATGGGGCTACCAGGAGAGGCCTTGGGGACTCTCCTGAAGTGAAGCTCAAGAGTGGGCAGTCCTTGAAAAACGGGCTTACTTCTTGACCTGGGAAGACGTGGCCTTGGCAGTATTTTAAAGGAGACATTTAAAGATCCCAGATCCCAAAAGAATACAAATGGCACAGTACTCTGCATGGTGTTGGAGCCATTTTTGCTGGTTCATTAACTCATTTCATCCTCGCAGGAACCTTCATTTCACAGATAAGGACGGGCCCAGAGAGGCTGAGTGGGTGGTCTAGATAACATAGCTAAAGAACAAAAGAGCAGGCAAAGCTGTTTCTGGGGCAGTAAGCCACAGTGCTATTAGCAGCATCTGTGACTGTCACTACTAGAATCACAGCTATTTTCATATCACATTACGGTTGTTGCAGGGATCTCAAAAAATCATGTATGCTCATCACCACTTCAAAATGATAGTAGTCATTAGACCCGCTGCTTGATCGTGTTACATTGAAGGTGTTAATCAAGAAGCACGTATGACTATACTGTAAATTGCATCTCAAGATACAGTAATCAGTTTCCTTTATAATCCTAGGTAATTTAATACATTTAGAAGCATTTTTTGAAATATGCAATACATCATTATTAATTATAGTCTCCTATGTTGTGCAATAGGACACCAAAACTTGTTCCTCCTCTCTAACTGTAACTTAGTGTCTGTTGACCAACGTCTTAGATTTTAAATATTCTCACCACAAATAAATGGTAAATGATCATAATGATACATATTTGAGGTCATGGATATACTAATTACCCTGATTTGACCATTCCACAATGTATACATGTATCAAAACCTCACAATGTACCCTATAAAGATATACAATTATTTGTCAATGAAAAATAAAATAAAGCTTTAAAAACACAAAATAATAGCTACTATTTTCTACCCCAAATATCTCCCACCTATTTTTTTCCTAGAAAGGGTCCCTAAGCAGTGCCAGACTGCCAAAGGCATGACAAAGGGATCCATGAGATAGCAGCAACCCTTAAATCCATTGTTCCCACCTGTAGCTGCACATTAATATCACCTGCGGAGCTTTTGAACTGGCACTGCCCAGGCCTCACCCCAGACTATTGGAATCTGACTCTGGGGATGGGGATGGAGTTGGAGTATTTTTTCTGCAGCTCCTCAGGAGATTTGTCTCATGTGGAGACAAAGCTGAGAACCACAGCCTCAGAAGGAAACGGGCCTATGTGCTGCTCTTTGGGGACAACAAGGAAGGAAGGAGAAACTCAGAGATCATGCCCTGTTATGCAGACAGGATGAAAAAGAACAGAAGCCCAGGCATGGGGAGGAGGTGGGCAGCTTGAAGGAGTGGGAGCTGGAGCCTGCAGCAAGAAAGAGCTATGGGGAAGGCACCACAGCCAGAGGCTGCCCCAGGCTCTGCCAGGCCAATGGTCTAGGTGGTGTTCCTGCAGAAGGAAATGGGAAATATTGAGGTGAGGGTGAGGTAAGGATGTAAGGATGTACTCACGGCCTCTTTCTGCACCCTCAAATGGCAGATCCTGATAAGTTGTTAACACCGTGTAAGAAACACGAGAGACAGTCTGTTCCACCTCCTCCCTTGGCACCCATACAAAATGACTCCCCATCTACCCACTCATAAGATCACATCCGGATTCCACCATCATCCAACCCAGCAGAAAGTCCCACCTTTGGTCTCTGTAAATATCTGCCAGCCAGAGCAATACAGCATGCCAGGGTCAGACACCAGTTCCCCAAGTGTGCTGCCTTTTGCTATGAGGAGACTTCAGCAACCTGGGAGCTGGGCAGGGCTGCAGTGATGATCTTTTCAATGTGTGAAGAAGGAAAACTGTGTTTGAGAGAAGAGGAAAGTGGCTGGCCCATGGTGCCACAGGGAATAGCAGAAGAACCAGGACTCCCTGTCCAGTGCTCCCTTCCCTACACACCCTGAGACTTCAGCTTTGGTTCCTAATCTGCCAGTGCCAGGAAACTGGCCCACTTCCCACTACAGCCCTGTGGCTCTGACAGGGCCACTCATGATATCCGGCAGAGATCTTGAGTCAGCTGCTCTGAAGGAACTTCCAGTAAGGCTCCTGCTCAGAGTCTGGATCAGGAGTGGGGGAATGGGGCATTTTGAGTTTTGTGCTTATGTTGCCTTCCCCCCATCTTTTGCTCCTGGACATCTTTTGACTGGGTGGGATTTTCCTCACTCCCCACCTCCAAAGTGGAGACTATGTCTTTAAGAAAGGACGAGTCAGAGCCACGGGGATCAGTTTCAAGCAGCCCTCAGAAGGCGAATCTGGATTGAGTTTAGGAAGAAAAAAGAAGGGGTTAGCTTTGGTCCTGCCTCCTTTCCTTTCTCTCATTTGCTCGTCTCTCCTCCGTCCTTCGTCTGGAAATTTGGTGAACTTGGCCAGGAGGTTCCAGAGCCCAGGGCTTTCCCCAGCAGCCTTGTCCCCTCACCTGGTCCCTCCTTCAGCTCCTGAGCACACAGTTTGGAGGACAGCTGGACAAGTGGCTGGAATGAGTAGGTACGTGGTCTGGACTTTTTAATCTTCACCCTGTCAGGGAAGTCTGGGGAGTGTCCAACACAGACACTGTGGGACGTGGAAGGGAACTCTCAAGATTTCCGAGAACCTTGGTAACCGAAGCCGGAAGGAGATGGGTGGGCTCTGGTGACTCCACTAGGGGTTTTGTGTTCAGGGTCAGAAAGAGGCTTGGTCCATGCAGCCTGGCCTACCTCCACCCTCGTGAGTTGCCTACCAAACCCATGATGGGTGGGAGTTTGGGAGTGTGAGGTGTTGAGTTTGCTGCTGCTGCTGCTACTGCCACTGCTGCTGCTAGAGGAATTGAGGCCACAGGGTGCTAGGAATCCTATCAGAAAAGTAGATGGCAACATGTCCAGTCCCAGTCATCTGTGACTCTGGTGGCATGGAACCACTCAGCTAAGGTGAACGTGATTCAGTCTGCTCCAGCTGCATGCGTGGTGGGCCAGAAGCCACTCAAGATCTTCTTGGGCTTGTTTTCAGCTTTGCCGGATGACTACAAGCAAGGCTTTTAGCTTTTAAGGACTTCAGTTTACACTTTAGAGAAAAGGACTTAATGCTACTCAGCTGAAAGGGGGAAGCACAAAGGAAGAGGTAGAGAAGGCAAACTGGGTTTGTGATAGAGATTCAAGGAGAGCTCGAGATTTCTGTGAGCTCAAGGATGTTTTCCTCCTATATTTCAGGATTTGTTCATTCATTTGTTTGTGTATTTAATCAGCAAACATCTGTAAAATGCCTATTGGTGCCCGTCACTGGTGTCAGGGAACCAGCAATCCAATATGGCAGCAGGTCCTTCCACCTGGTCTCCTTCCCCAGATCTCTACTCCTCCCTTTCCCTCACCACCCCCCACAGCTGATTTGAGAGAGGAAGAGGCACTAGTTTCTAGTGTACTGAGGTGACATGATAAGGTCATGATAGGTGCTGACATTGTTGGCACTAGAGTGGGTACATCTCACTTGACAACACTCTCTCTTGAAAGAGATTTGGGCCTGGGTCCCAAACATTACCTCAGCCACTGGGAAGGATTTTGAAGGTCAGGAAACAACAGGGATCCACAAGTTCAGCCTAACCCTCCCTGACAGAAGGAGTGGCCCAGGCCTTCTTTGGACATTGTCAGTAGAGCTGGGCCCCTGGTTGGGTCCTCAGCATCATATGTGGACCAAGCATTGTTTGGATTTGCCAAGAGCATCTAAGGACTTTGGTCTTTGTGATTTAAGCAAGTTGTCATAACTTGGGCAGGAGGCATGCTAGGATCTCAGCCACCTGGCTGTTGGGGAAGGGATAAGGTTAGGAATACTGGCTCTTGGGTGGTCCTTTGGATGTGGAAAGCTTAGGCATGGCATAGACAAGCATGTATGTGTGTATGATATAGGAAGTATCCCCCAGGAGAAAAGGCCCAGCAAAAGCAAGGCAGAATTTAACTCTGTCCAAATAGGATTGGCGTTCAGAATTGGAGTCATAACTGGCAGCTCGCACAAAGACCTAATGCATACAGAGGAAGGGCAGTGAGACCAATGCCAGTGCCTGTGTACTCTACTCTCACCCTGCTCAGGCAGAAATGGGAGTGGTGGAGCCAACGGGTGAGCTTCATAACTTCAGCTGAGAGGGCTGAATTGGCCTGCTCGGGGCTGCCACCACCCTACTTAAAAACAAATCATTATAGCCCAGCTACCACTGCACTGAGTGTTTGCGATTGAGCTGGGCTTATCTAAGCGGTTATTCGTGAGCCTGGAAAAGGGATAGGGAATAGGCCATGATGTCCTGAGGCTATGACAGTGGCATTTTGCTAACTTATCCTTGTCCACCCTTCCAATCCCACTGTGGCTGCTCCTGCCTCCTCAGGAAGGGATACCATCAAGCTCAACTGCCCACTCCTGCAGGTAGGCCTGCTGCCCTCTCACATGCTCTGTCCACTTCTTGGATTGCTGGGCTCTGGTGCAAGCCCTCAGAGCTCCTGTCATTCCTTTGCAGAATAAAGCAGCTACCCCAGGCAAGGGGTGCAGAAGGGTGGCTGAGGGAGGGGAGGCGGAGAAAGTGTCGGGGGCTTATGTCAGGAAAGTGGAATGCTTGCCAGCAGCTGGGCCTTCCCATCTAGAGTGACTTCATGAAAGAAGCCCTGGAAAGATTGTTCCCTCTCCCTGGTGAGGGTGCATTTTTGGGAATCACTTTGTTTTCCTCTCCATTTTCTCTGCAAGTCTGATTGTTTGGGGAGAACTAAAGGTTATGTGTACTATTAAAAAAAAAAAAAAGTGGAGAAAACCACCCCTTAAATGTAAAGCTGAGTAATTCCAGGAAAAGAATCCAAGCGAATGAGGTTTCTGCCCAAGTATGGGAAAATATCCATCCATCTCCCCACTTAATCAGAAAAATGATCTGCCGAGTAATGAGTCATGCTGCCTGTCAGCAAACAGCACTGACCCTAGCCACAGAGCCAGGAATAACAGAGGTGAGAGATGACAGTAGCTATGACGAAGAAAAGACATGAAGGGAACTGGATTCCTGCTGCCAGCAGCTGTGTGGCTCACCTTTGCCCCCTCCTGTGCAATAAAAAATGCACTGGACTGGGCTGCGTCATTGGTGACACTGATCAATACCACTGGGGTTCATCTATGCATTCTGATAAGTGGGGTCTCTGCAGGGGGCACTCAGAAGCAATCACAGCTTTGTGCACAGTCTGGGAGTGCTTTTTTACTGAGGAAAGCATATATACAGTAAATTGCATAAAGCACACTGTAAATGTACATTTCAAAGAAGCTGTGTGTATATATATATATGTGTGTGTGTGTGTGTGTATACATCTGTGTGTAACCACCTCCCAGATCAAAATATAGAACATTTGCAGCACCCCAGAAGGCTTACTTTTTCCCCTTCCATTTGGCTTCTTTATTTACAGGCACCAAGTGCTGCAATCAAATGTTTGTGATCAGCGGCATGCTGGTAAATGTTTAACAACCAGTTCTGGTGTGTGTAATGGGGTGCCCTGCTTTGTAGCTTTTGCCAGTTTTGTGGTATAAATGTTCCTGCCATGGCTAATTTCAAGCTACCAACAGTTTAACAACTGGCTCACAAAATTATGAAAATTTAACAATTGGCTCTGGTGAGCCAAGCAGACTGGCTCCAGCACACCACCAGTTGTAACAAAGGATTAAAGAGAGCCAAGTCCACCCGACTACCCAGCGCAGGTAGGAGTGGGCTCCCAAATACTCCCAGGTCCAGCCCCTTAGTGAGGAGGGAATCGTTCACAGGATTTAAAGTGATCTCCAGCTTCTTTTGTGCAGCAGACATTGGTTGTGTCCCTACCTTGTGGCAAGCTCTAAGGTCACAAACATGAGTAAACCACGGTTCTATCCCTCAAGGAGCTTACATAATTTAACACTCGGAAGGAGAGGCAGACGTGTGAAGGTATATGTGCAATAAAGAGTTCTAGGGGCTGTGTAGGAGACTACATGGGACTTAACTGAGGGCACCAAGGAGGGCTCATTTCTGCCTTTGAGTCAGAAATACATCTCTTATTCCACTTTGCTTTGGGAGGTGTCTTGGAGCTGAGGAAAAGAGCATCAGACTCCTACACACCTGTTTTGGATCCTGGTTCCACCTCTTCCATGCTGTGTGATCTTGGGCAGGTCATTTAACCTCTCTGAGCCTCAGGTCCCATATTTATAGAATGAGAGTAATAGTAGTACCTACATCACACAGCTATTGTATTAAATGAGCTATTTCATGTGTAGCACTTAGCACACATAAGCACTAGGCACTGCGACTAATTAGCTTCAATTAGGAATTATTAACAACTAGCTTGCGACAAGCTTTGAACTTCTCTAGGACTCCATTTCCATCTATGAAATGGGACTAAAGTGGCCAATCTTGTCAGTGTGTCATGAGAATTAAATTAGATCATGTATGTGAATTGTCTGGCCCAAAGCTGGTTCTCAGCAAATGCTGGTTTTGCTCCTTTCCTGCTTCTCTCTCCCTTTCCACACACACTGGCTTAAGACCTCGCTTCGAAAAAAAAAAAAAAGCCCAACTCTGACATGCTAGGAAACAAATATATCAAGTGAACACATTAACCCGTTTTAAAAGCTTTTTGTTTGCAATTTTAGACTCAAGGGAAGTGTGCAAAAAAATTTACAAGGTGAGATCCGGTGACCCTTTACTCAGTTTTACATTGTTGCATCTTACACAACTGGGAAAGTGGCGTTGGTACAATCCGCAGAGCATATTCAGGTTTCACCAGTTTTACATGTCATGTACTCTGTATATGAGTGTTAATATCATTTCAAAAATTTTATAACATGTGTAGATTGTATAACCATCACAATTGAGATGCAGAATTTCTAGTAACTGGCCACTGAAGTAAAAAATAATTAGCTAAAGCCAGGCGCTGGTGGCTCCACGCCTGTAATCCCAGCACTTCTGGAGGCTCGAGGTGGGTTGGATCACCGTGAGGTCAGGAGTCTCAGACCAGCCTGGACAACATGGGGAAACGCCCATCTCTACAAAAAAATAGAAAAATCAGCTGGGGCGTTGTGTCAGTCACCTGTAATCCAGCTATTCGGGAGGCTGAGGTAGGAGGAAATACTGCTTGAACCCAGGACGGGCGAGGTTGCAGTGGGCTTGAGATCGTGCCCACTGCACTCTAGCTTGCGAACAAAAGAGCAAGACTCAGTTCAAAAAAAAAAAAAAAAAAATATATATATATATATAATAATATGACAATGATAATAATAAATAATACATAATGACAGAGTGCAGAACTGTTTCCATCACTGCAAAGATCTTCCTCATGCTACCTCTTGTATTTGTACCCATCTGCTACCCACTCCCGTCCGATCAAGAAACCCCTGGCACAGCAAGAACCTATTCTTCAATCTATATGACTTTTTAATTTCCAAACATGTTATGTAGGTCGGCATTGGTGGGCTCACAACCTGTAGTCCCAGCAACTTTGGGGAGACACAGGTGGGCAGATCACTTGAGGTCAAGG